ATTGGACAAAATATATGAAAAAGCCTATAATATCTACTGTAGTTTAACACATCCCGTCTAATTTATCTCCTAGAATACCTCCATTATCAAACGATAGCACAGAGAATGCTTAAAAGTTTGTAAGAAGACACCAATGTGTGTTGTCATATAATTAGGACGTCATGTAAAAATGTACAATAGTGCCATAAATATACACACATAACGGATGTAACTCCGACGTATCTGTACAAATAAAGTAGAATGATAACTATCCTTTATTGTACATTTAGCGTTCCTGTACAAATACAATAGGATGATAACTATCATTAATTGTACATTTAGCATACGTACCGTAACAATGCATAGCATAGCATCCTGGATATAACCCACATCATAACCTTACCAAACAAACTGGTTGGTATACTATTCTTTACAGCACTTGCGTTTCTGCGTTATATATATATAAACTTTGTACCTTTTGTACTTACATATTATATTACATATCATAATATTGATTTGTTCATTGGTCTATCAAAGGACGTTGATATATATATATACATCAACATTGGAATAATTGGAATATTACATTATTTATTCACTATGATATTACGAATATATCATAGAATATCTCGTTACTTTCTCAGTATAACGTGTATGTCTATTATCTCTAGATAATGGTTACAAAAAAAATCAGAAAATTATTAGATAATCGCGATTCTGGAACATGATATTACCACAACAAGAAATTTGATAAAACTTTATATAACGATATGGTTTAAAGATTTGATTTTGTTATAAAAATACATGTCATTACACTGCTATTGTGTCAACCATCAAACTATGTCTACCTATACATAGCAAAACTCATTTACATATAAGAGATATAATTCTTATAAAATCGTGGCCATAATGAACTTTTTAATTACATTCAGTCATCACTATCAGTTTGACTGACGAGATTAACTCGAATGTGATTTCTAAATTATCCATCTTGAATGCTGAATGTCGGGTAAGGAACGAGTCGTTCCACATCCGGGCTTCATAATTTAGTAACAAGTAATCTGATTGGCTCAAACTTTCTAATCAATCAAACTACTCGTAACTGAATTTGAGCGTAATATTCAGCACTGAAGACATTTTAGCTAGTGGATGTAGATATCGATGTAGATATCGCATTTATATTTCAATTAATAAAGAAGTTAAGACTTATTCTTACAGATTGAACATTATAACTAGTATGGGTCATAGTTCAATTACTGATGTAGATGGTTGGAGATATCGCAACGAAAAATCTGTATTTAAAGCTTCATTGAAGACTTTCATAACCAATGAATTTTCCATCGGTAGTATGTCCCATCACTAAAGTAACTCTGTCCGTTGATGCTATGTCCCATCACTAAAGTAACTATGTCCGTTGATGCTATGTCCCATCACTAAAGTAAATTGTCCGTTGATGCTATGTCCCATCACTAAAGTAACTTGTCCGTTGATGCTATGTCCTATCACTAAAGTAACTATGTCCGTTGATGCTATGTCCCATCACTAAAGTAAATTGTCCGTTGATGCTATGTCCCATCACTAAAGTAACTTGTCCGTTGATGCTATGTCCTATCACTAAAGTAACTATGTCCGTTGATGCTATGTCCCATCACTAAAGTAAATTGTCCGTTGATGCTATGTCCCATCACTAAAGTAACTTGTCCGTTGGTGCTATGTCCTATCACTAAAGTAACTATGTCCGTTGATGCTATGTCCCATCACTAAAGTAAATTGTCCGTTGATGCTATGTCCCATCACTTAAGTAACTTGTCCGTTGGTGCTATGCACTAAAGTAACTATGTCCGTTGATGCTATGTCCTATCACTACTGTGATTGTAAACATTTTACAAATTCTATAGTAGGAATGATCGTTGAAATTATAAAGTTGGATTTCATCATTTGTTTTTTGAAATATTCCTTTACAAATGGTCATCTTGGAAAGGTCGAAAATACCCTAATTCAACCTTGAATTCAATATAATACTGAATACTTCAGAAGTCCGTTTAAAATGCTATGGGTGTGTAGTACGTCAGAAGTCCCTTTATAATGTTATGGGTGTGTAGTACGTCAGAAGTCCCTTTATAATGCTATCCGTGTATAGTATGTCAGAAGTCCCTTTATAATGCTATCGGTGTATAGTACGTCAGAAGTCCCTTTATAATGCTATCCGTGTATAGATTGTACTATAGAACCTAATCTGTACAAAATCTGTAAAAACGTGTTGGTAACTAACTACAACGAAAGATCAATACGTATTAAACCTGAAACACATCAAGCTCTAAAATAAGAAAACCTTTGGTTGTTTAAAATATTATTGACTGATTCAAATTAAACCCCTGATACAAAATAGTGATACATGTTTGTATTTACTGTATCAAAATAAATCTTTTTTAAAGATGAAGGCCATTTTCTTTTCATACATGTATATGCAGATGTTTTCTTATCAGTGCAAAGTAATCATAGAAAATAAGATATAGATACATGTGAATTTTTGACAATTGAAAGATTTAATCTTTGCATCGACCCAAACTCTTTTATCATTTTAAGATTTCAAAATATAAAATCATGCGTACATGTATTGAATAGTTTGTGAAAAATGAAAAACCTACAAAAGTTGATTTCGAGAAAAAAAATTTTTTCCCCTCATATTTTTTATTTAGAAGGATAGTGACGTTTGAAACCCGTTAAGTAATCTTTCTTCTATCAACAAAGTGCAAAGCAGTACCTAAATAGGTATCTATTTTTTTCGTCGAAATTATTTTCTTTATGTTTAAGAAATGTTGACGCTTTAGAGGACATCAATGTATAGATTGAGGGTCTTTCTGTTCCGCCATGCCTTTCTGTACATACAGCACTTGGAAAAGACAATATAAACACAACATCCTGAAATACTCGTTAGTTACGCTCCAGTGACTTTGTGTACATTAGTGTTGATTGTATAGCGTTTACTGAAGTATTGACGCCGTTTCTATAGCTTTACCATGCTGTCTGTACAGTCATCCCAATAACCGGAAATTAACACTCGCTCATTTTACACGGTCAGTATACACGGGAAAATAAACAGAACATAATAAGCAGCAAGGTACAAGAGACATTTTACGAACCACATAAACACATTAATTTATGTCAGTGTTGAAGAGTTATGTTCCACGGTAAGTACGTAAACATGTAGGTATTTCGTTACCACAGCACCAGACTAACTCGTACCTATTAACCTGTTTGTTTTAGATGTTGTATGTGTTTACCATTGGCAGAGATTTAAAACCGATCAATGTATTAAACAGACTTATAGAGAAGTACTTGTCTTTTTGAAAACGATCGAGATTAAAAGCACATAACGTTTCCACCTGCTCTGCGACTAATATCCTGCAAATATGAACATTTACGGTAGAAACTTATTGAGATTTCACAAGTGTAGGAATCCCGATTTGTCAATCCTTTTATTATTTAACATCCGTTTGGCAATCATACTCCTCTGCGAAACTGATCTTAGATTAAAAGATTTCCCATCGAGATCTTCCTTAATGACGATGAGCAAACAATAATACTATTGTATTCTTTGTAGCAGAACATCAAACACTAACCTTTTTGAAATAGTAAAACCTCGTACTTTTGTTTCGAAATCAAACCAAAATAATGAGTTGGATTCATCACTACAAGGGAATAATTGGATGGACAATTTTTATATGTAACTTTCAATCCAGAGGTATTTTTCTTTTTCAGTTGTGCTTATATTCAAAAACGGATTCCGTACTCAAATTACGGTCATCATAGCTATCAGTAAGAGATTTAACAGATTATAACTGGAGAAGAGAACTACAGCTTTGACTCGTTTCCAGGCTAAAATCAGTCTTTTATGGGATAGGAAAATTAATTAATTAGAAATTTAATAGGTTCATATAATAGAACCGGAGTTTTATCTAGTGTCCATGCTAAACATACTGTTATTTCAAGGAATAATTATCGCACGAATACTTAATTAAGCATGGAAGGCATTTTAACATAGAGTCCTTCCATCGCCTAACCCAGTGCATGTTAAGAAAGGACATAGACCGCGTGGAGGATGTTTGTGTACGGGAAGACAGGGTTAACACTAAATGATGGATTTTTGATTCCAGGATTTTCCTTAGCTTATTAGATTTTTACATGTATAAACAAATGTTAATTAATGTTGACAAATCGAGTACGGTGTGATTTGATTTTACACCGGAACGTCAATAAAAAGCAGGGTATTTCCTCAGTCTAATACACTATTAACACCAGAATACTAATTATTAAGGATAAATCTTAATTAAGTATTATGAACCCCCATGTTTACAATACAAAATCTCTTGGCATCTATTGAAAACATCTTTAAGTAATTTACCAATTCTGAAACAACATCTCAAGAGGGGAAGTTTAAATTTGATAGAGCACGACATTCGGTGTAAGAATCTTGTTTGACTATTTCGAGAAAAAAATGTATAGCTATTTATGCATCAATTATAAAATAAAAGCAAGCTAATAGATAAATGGTTAATGAATAATAAACGCTCAAAAAAAAAATAAAAAAAAAAAAAACATTCTGACAAAAAATAATGAACCCCTTATTGAGGTCTGAATAATGCTACAAATTTTGCTTTAGTTCCTTTGTTAGCGACGGTACGTGTGCGAGCATCTTCATATTGGTACGGCGTCAAAGTGAGCGCGTTTCGCTAGAGTCTGTCATACGTCAAGCAGTAACATCAACGACCTCACTTACTCCACTGTAACGCTAATGGGAACAATCGAAAGTAAATAAGGACTTGCAATCTCCTACTACTTCCGAAATTGACGTACTGGTGGAAATCAAAATCTCGTAATCTTTTAATACTTTTGTTTTACACTTAAAACGATATCGAATCAAAGAATAAATTTGATAGAAATAAATTCATATTGGAAAATTATATATTTATATATGTCGATATTTATTCATTGTCATGTAATATATATGCGTTTTGCATTCAGTGACCCTTAATATCCCCGAGTTCGTCGTCAGGTGGGACCAGGATTGAAAGCGTCACAGCAAACAAGAGGATAAGGAAACAAACCAGCAATGTCCGATCTATTACTAGCGCCACCTGCTGCCACTCCAATTTTATGAAATCTTTTCGATCTTGGTCCGCTAAACGCATTTCGTTCCTTTCAATTGTCCAATTCACTTTTTGTAGTACCCGCACAAACTGTCGTTCACAATATTCACTGTTTGCGACGTTCAAGCGTCTGGTGAATCGTGGGGAAACACCACCATTTTCAGAAGGAACTTCTGTTTCGAATTTGTCAAATTTGTAGTATTCTCCTTGTGGAACTTTTTCCTGGAAAGAAATCAAGACAGTGTTATTTTGTTACCTGTAGTCATTGAAAATATATCAACAAACCATAAATGGCCGATCTATACAATCTTTAGAGACATATAAAATTATAACGCAGATTTAATCCTTCTCATATCTAAAAGATATACACATATAACTTGTCATCATACCGTCCGCACTGATCAATCATCAAATTCGTATTATTGACAAGAGATCCCGTAGGGAGACAACCATTATTTAGTCTTTATTTGTCACCGTTTTTGTCCCTGTTCTTTCCTCAATTTTTGTGCTTGTAAATATACGAAAGTTGAAAAAATATTTTTTTTGAAATAACGATAATGATCACAGACGCCTCCTCAGCTTTAGGCCTAAAGCATCACTAACGAGTCCTACGAGGCTAATTGATAAGTTGTGAACGTCATATTTAAGAGTTTGACCTTTGCCGAACATATTGCATTGTTTTTAAACACAATCCCCTTCAGTGTCTTTACACTTTTCATCCATAGTTGCAAACCTCTTCAGAAACTGACCAGGTTCTGCTTCTAAAAGGTTAAGCTTAACACGCAACAAAGTTCGCCTCGTTTGACGCTGATCAACTGTCGGAAATCTTGGTAACATACGGTATGAGAGATTTCTCATTGCAAGATCTTCTGTAAGATTAGAATGTACTATTTCCTGTAGTGGCTTTCACTCTGTAACTCGCCTGCCAGCAATAAAACTTCATGGACTTTATTGATAATTTTTAGGGTTGCAACGGTGACAGTTTTCCCAGCATTCGCGTCATCCCCAAGGCTCTGCCTGTCATGTTTAAATTCCGCCATCCACCTTTTCAATGTAGCAATCATGTATGAAGGGGCAACATTCCTTAGTGTTGCTACCATATCAGTATGAATATCCTTAGGTGCTAGACCGTTCTTATACAAATATTGATTTACTGCTCTTTCTGCGATTTTTTCCATTTTCCAAAAGTCAAAAGTCTTGTTGACTTTACGGTGCTACCTCTTCGACACAACCTGACCAAATGACTTTGGCTACATAGACTTAACTACTAAGTGGATAGTAGAGCTGAAAAAGGACATCCCTGCCTATCTTCTTCAATACAAGGCTCACTACTTATCAATCAGCCCTCATATAAGGACGAAGCAGCTCTGCTACCTATGCTAAATTGTGATTTAAAGGTGCGATTCTTTCGTGCAATCTTTAACTATAAATCCAAGATGGTCGCCTGACAGCCGTTGTGTTTTTCGGATCCGTTCCAAAACCAGAAACGAGCAACTAGGTACCAAGAGAAACCTACATACATGCATGAGGTTCCAATTTATGTAAAGTTTCCCATAAAAGCCGCCTACACCTGTATTTCTTTCAAACTTTGCATGTTTATAGTACAATAGATGACGACAATATGACAAAAACATACACTTGAATTTTACTCTTTTAGATAAAAAAGGCCCAAAGGACCCACACGTTAATGAACTGACTACATGTCCAAACGTGCATTAGTTACATGTTTTTGTATCACCTTTTTCATAAATTCTGGTTTTGTTACCTTCCCAAATCATTATTCACCATTTATATATTGGTAATGGAAAACAATAACGATTAAAAAAAAAAACAATTTTCAAAACCAGGTTATCACAAAATATATGAAATCTTATGAAATAAGTTTTGTCAACCATTTTTATCTATTTGATAATTAGTTCAATATGTGTTCTATCACCACGTAAATTTGAAACCAGCAAAATTGAAACTTCAATGAGGCAAACATTTTAAAAGAGGCAATGAACAGCATAATTGCGCCATTAGACATATTAGATCATTAAAAGTTGTAAACATAGTTAGAGACTGATGTACATTATAATCTTATAGTTGTTCTTTATTATTATTTTTTATCAAAATATTCATATTCGGTTTGCAGCATTTGAATACTATTTGCCCTGTCAATGACTAGACTTAAGTAATATTTGATTGCGAACACTGTCCTCACAGAACATGAGGAAAATCAGGCCGACACATCAACAAGTTCAGTATAACAATGCAGTGGCCCTCAATAAGCCAATTTCCTTCTCTTTGGCTTGCAATTCAATATCCAAGTTTTATCAGTAATTGTTAAATCAGGATTAAAATAACTATATTGCACTTTGTTTAACAACATCGAAATGCATTTGAGAGCAAAATTATTATAATATGTCATAGTAACGTAATACATCATTATTTTGACGTCAGAGTAGTAGATTATAAATGTATACTTTTTCATCAAAATGACTAAAAGAATGTTTGACTTCATTTATCTATCAATAACTATTTTTTGAATGCTAGAAAAATATATTCCCAAATTTAATATTTTTTTTGTGCACAGAGTATACATATAATTTGTTTTTGAAACGGAAAAAGCTATAACGTAAGTCTTTGATGACGTAGGCTTCAAACATGAGATATCATGAATTGTAAAAATGTTCACTTTTTCATTCCTTAGGGGACAATGGGAAACGGGCGCATCAACTTTACGAGAGATCAATCCAATACTGTTCAAGAAATAACAGCATGGTTTACAGACTACGGACATAAGGCGATTTGAATATCCGATCTTCAGTAAGCTAAAGAACATAATCACAGAGGGAATGACACAACAATATAAACATTTTCAATTAGAAAATATTGTCTCTTAAATAAGTCACGTCAGGTTATCGACTAATTACTGTAAAAAGGGAAACATAGTAAAGTTTGTACCATTCCCGGCTCCGGTGGAGGTTCCGGTAGATCCAGCTTGATAAACAGGATCCGGGCAAAGACACCAAAGCAAACCTTCTTTAGTAACATGGGAACCTCAAACCCTCGGGAGCCTTTGTGGTGAATATTCAACGTGAATACATTCATCGCGGTGGCGAATGAGACAATTGCGATGGTGATGCCGTAATACAAACCTATAATAGAAAAAAAACATTGTTTTTATAAAGGGACTCGAATGGTAAGCTTTGTCCAATAAAAATGTAAATAACATTTAAAAGAAGTGATATATAGGTTAAAATAAAGCTGTGCTTCAAAACTTGAAAAGCAAGTGAAGAAAAAGATGGGTTTACTTTTCAAAATAGGAACATATGAATCCTTCCAAATGTCGAAGTATTATTTCAATTGATTAGATAACGATAATGAAAACAGTGGGACAATAATACATTGTACATATGTCATAACACGGAAATATGAAATGTGGATTTTGTTACCGTAACAGAATCTGTAATAACTGATTTTGTATAACATTATGCATAGTGTATGATTTTTTTATTATACACACACAACTATACAAACATAAAAAGACAATTAGTGTTGAGAATGCTTTTGAAAAATACAGATTAATTGTTAATAAGACATGTGGGGTAGAAAACAATATCATTGATGTAAAATTAGGGAGATTTTTGTAGTGAATTGTTACCAATACAGGTATTTCAGTGAAACGATTCAAACAATTCGTTAATTGGATATAAGCTGACGTCTGGGAAAAGACTGACTGATGGTGTGTTACACAAGTCAAAGACCCATAGGAAAAAGGTTGTCATTTTATATAAAACAAAGACCAATAAGAAGTAAGTTTGAAAGTGTCATTTCTTACAAAACACAAACCTACCTGTAGCAGGTTGATATTATCATGTTACACAAACCAAAGACCAATAAAGTTGAAAGTGTCATGTTATATAAAACACAGGCTCACCGGGGAAAAGGTTGATAATTTTAAGCAATATAAAACACGGGTTACATAGAAAAAACAGTGTTAGTGTCATGTTATAAAAACTTTAAGAATAGATGCTGTAGTGTTTACCAGGACATAAATCCACTAAGAAACGGTACACGGTACCGTGTTGAAAAGACCCACTAGGGACACGTTTGTAAACGAGTGCGGCTTACTCTGGCATTGTTAGTTGTGTATTCAAGAAGTATTGCCAATCGCTATCAACAACAACCATTTGCTATAGAGCTGAAAACAACAACTAGTACTAATAAGTATTCCGATTGAAAGTAATTGGAGTTATATTGGATTATCACGTGATCTATGATAATCACGGTTATCACCAGCAAGGCTAAAAAATAACCGAGCGAAAAGAGGCTTATTCATCGAGGTGTCGTAAAACCAGGAAGTTGGAAACAGCTCTAGGATACAGTATAATGCATTATCTCGCTATACTAAAACTCATTCTAAATTTGCTATACACTTGTGTGCATTTGTTTAAAGCGCATCACGTTTTTCGATACTGTAGCTTTTTACAAATTTAAAGGAAATAAAAATAATAATTTTGTGAGAATTATGGAATTATATGGAATTCCCATCCACTGATAACGCTTCTAGAACCACATCAAAACAAATATTGAGGTTCATAAAAAGGAAAGAAAAGAGACGACAGAGCACTTAATGCTGTCAAATAAAGGATCGATAAGAAATCCAAGAAACAGACAGGATGAAACAAACCTGTAAATAGGAATCGGTAAAAACAACAACAACAAAAAAACATGGGGTTAAAAAGGTCTCATGAAGCATGGATACATTAAATTAAACCATTTGAGAGCAAGGTCATGATACACATTGTTCTTAATTACGGCCAACACTAAAGTGTATGTGACAGTTTAACTCGGGAAGTTATAGTTATCTGGGTGATGCCTTTATATTTGCCACTGGGAAGGGCACATTTTCTACGTCATCAAAAACAAAGACGTGCGAGAGTCTTCGTGAATTTCTTTTTTTAATTTGGTACCAAAGAGCAAAGAACCTAAATTGCACAGAGAAGGGGAGTGGTGTTTTTTTTATCTATCACGAAACAGAGATAATACGTATTTACTAAGATGCACTGAAGTAATCTTAACAATTTATGAGCATTCAACATCGTTACCGTATATTCCATATTCACGTTTAAAAACAAAGAAAGAAATACGTTGGACATTGGCATTGAATAATAATAAAAAAAAATACAAAGAAAAAGAGAAGAAGGGACGTTTTACAGCATGGCATTAAAATATAAGTACGGCATCTTTACCTTTTTACAAAACGAGAATTGAACAGAACTTGTTAAGATGATGAGCACACGTAATCGCCACGCGCTATGGTATGTACGTGTTTTGATTATGCAAAATACTTGCCAACATTAACAGTATGAAAAAGATCGAAGGTCAGGAATGAGCTGCATAGGCAATGAAAGAGTATTTAATTGTGGAAATAAGAACTGCATTAACGTAAATTCAGTTTAAAAAAACAGGAATTTAGTAATATCGATCAAATTAGTTGAAAGGAAATCTAATTGTAGAATAAGAGTAATCGCGATTTGTAACACTTTCGAAATGAAGGCGATTTTGGACCTGTCACTGGGGCAATTCCGTAAGCATTCAAACATGGCGGCAATACCGATCTACTTGAAGCTGTTTCGCGATTTTATTATCGTGCACTCTTCTTCTTCGTTTGAATGATTAAAATAAATTTCTTAATTTCGTTAGAAAAAATCATCTCTACTTCATCGTCTTACTTTAATGAGGTTATCCCTTATGATTATTGTTTTTTTGTTAAATGTTTTTCATTGAATATAATACATATAAAACAAAACACGTCTTCATCCTTTCCTACTTGCATCATCATCATCATCATCATCATCATCATCATCATCTTTGTAAAAGTTTTTCTTATCTTAAACCCGTATTTCTCTGTTACAATCTGCACTTTGTGGGAGTTTACTGTTTTTAACTTCAATACGTGTCATGAAATGGAAATAACTTGTTCACAGCTGTGGTAAGTCCTATTGGTTTGAGCAAGAAATCTCCTTTCCTGTTAAGTTGATCTACCTGACTAGTTTACAACTAGACTTTGCCGCATATTTTTGTTGGTACATATATGTAAAAAGGCACATAAAGTCAACAACTACTTATCGAATGTCTTTCCTCTGTAACACATCACCTGAATATTTTCACCCGACTCACAAAAGAATGTGGGGGTTAACGTGACTCACGTATGAAGAGTATGATGTGACTTAAATATGAAGAGCACCACGTGACTTACCAGCAAGGGATACCATGTTACTTACCTATAATGGGTGCAACGTGACTTACCTATGAGGGGTACCACGTCTGACACAGGAGGCAGTCGTTCGGCCACGATCATTAAGAAGACTGTCATGGACAGCAACGTGGTAATCCCCATGGATATTTTCTCTCCTGAGTCCGAGGGCATATAGAAGCCAAGGAGAGCCACCAGAGTGATGAGTATACACGGCATCACCATGTTAAACAAGTAAAACAAAGGTCGTCTCTTCAGCACGATGTAATACTTCATGAAGTCATACGGGACGGGACAACACGAGAAGTTGACGGGATGTAGGTTGTAACTAAATGTTATAAGCTCCCATTCAGAACTAGGTATGTAATTAGTTAGGTCCCCGTTCTCGCCCATTTTCACCATCTTTAGCTTCATATTATCGAACGTCCAAGAAGCAAATTCCATACTGCAATTCTGGACATCGAATGGAAAGTAACGCACATCCATAGAACAAGAACTCTTAAATATCCACATGGACAACCACGTAACATTTCCGTCCGGAGTGACGATTACATTTGTGCTGACTGACGATAGCGAAGACCCTACATCTGCACTGAAATTCAAAGCATTAGTTATAAGTCGAGTTGTAAGACCTCAATGAAAACATAAGTTTAACAGTGTAAAGATATTTTACTTTGACAAATGTATACAGGTTTGTAGAGGCTGTTGATAAGGTATGTTTAAGGTAAAGGACTGTCTGTGAAGTATATTCAGTGCAAAAGCAGCCATAAACACGGTCGTCTCGTAAAAAGACCTTTGGCCATTGGAGTTATCGATACCTTCAGAAAATAAGCCTAGTCTAATGATAACGTCTGGCTTAAATTCTTAACTATCAATTATTGGGAAACATTTTCTAAATATTGATATGAACGAAGCCCGACTAGCATCTGTTTACTACGAGGCACCTAGTTTCGGCAATATCGATAGAAATGGCAAGACCCTCAATTAAAAGTCTAGACACGTTAATGACATCGGGTTTATAACATTTCAAAACTACCGAATAATTACACAAAAACATCATCTATTTCCAGAAATTCGAATAAATACCTTAGAAACAGACAACTTGTTCAATAATAAATCTTCCAAGGTCATTTCTGTGCTAAACATTATAGTATGTACAACGTAACGTTTTGGCAAGTTATTTCAATAAAAATGAAATACCCATACATGTTAAAAATTAAAATTGAAAAAAAAAACCCCTGTCATTAGTTCAATGATACTATTATTCGAAGAATGCTTAAATCAAATTCTGCTAAAATATGTACGTTAACAGTAGTCAGATATGGCTCCGCCAGCGAATTGAAAAAAATATCTGTGACAATATTCAAATTATAAATTTATGTATGTAAATAACCCTATAGTCCTATGATTCAGACAAACCGTAATCAGGAAGAAACCCAGTTTTAGACATGATCAAAATAATACTCCATCTGGATGAGTTCGTTAGTTAATGGTTGTTGTTATCAGAAATCGTAGAAAGCTACAGCGATAGGTATAACCGTATTGGGTATAACAGCCACAATATAGATTCCAAATTGAATGAAGCATTGGTAATACGGCCTTCACGGGATTCACTGTCGTGTTATACATCATTGCTTGATCTTGTTACCATCACTTGCTAAAGTTTGAATGACAGACAACCTATCAGAGTGGTTTTGAGGATCTGACAGCCACTGTGTTGTGGATGATATAGTGTACGTTCCCATTCATGTATACAATTGTTTTATAAATTATGTGATCTTTTAGGTTTCGCAATTGAAATAATATTCTCTGGTCATAACATTGCATTGTTTCGGAAATGAGGAACTGACTAACTGATGAATCTCTCCGAAGCGAAGTGATATACTGCTATCGATGTAATTTCATTTTCAACGGTAATTTCAATAATGTAATTGAAATATTGTCCACCTATTCTTACAGATAATGTTTATGTTACAGTAGAGGCAACTAAATGATTCCATTTCAAACCAATTTATATCTTTATGCTCCGAAAACAACATTAACAACCATTTAAGCCATGAACGCAATACGGCTGTTGTAGACAATTTGTTCTAAATGACGATTTCGTGGCTGATTTAAAACCTATTTTGGAATATTGCTTTTTGACATCAACAATTTCTATTAGAACCAAGAAGTCCAAATATGGAGAATTCAAAGATGTGTTTGTACATGATTTTCCCCCTGTCTGCTGATTATGATAGACATCTCATGACTTCTACCAGAATGGTTTCGCACACTACATGGAATCAATAGCGTCAGGCACTTGACACAACACACGTTGATACACTTTATCACTAAAACCACAGTCATCATAGGTTTTTACATTAACAAAAACACAAATCCGTAGATGCTTTTATTTAAGATCTGATATAGTTTCTGTACTTTTTTCTTTTGGTTTTTGTCAACTGACGTTCAAATTCGTACCACAGGGTTTCAAAAGACCCAGGTTGATAAAAAATATGAAGAAATTCTACGAGTGATCTCATTTAAAACTATCCTATTTCTTGTGCGATAAGAAGATGGACGTATGTGGCAATCTTTTATTTGCCTGTTGGTTCGGTTGTTGTATACCTTGTTCTCATTTTGAGAACGTTACATTATCTACTTGGATTTTCATATAAAGAAATTACTTTATTTGATAATAATATTTCATCCATTTCTTTTACTTTGTAAAGTTGTATTATTTTATCTATGTTATCACACCAACCTTAGCATCAGTATGTTGCTATAAATAACCATATATCATGAGATGTAGTGCACATTTAGAATCGACTTATATTTCATCAGTAGCATAACAGTTGCTCAAAATGTAACTCTTTGTCTTGTTCAACAACTGTTTACAAAAAGGTACCAATAAATCACAAAACAGAACCTATAATTCCATTAAAAAGCTATTATGTGAACATCATCAATTCAAATTCTATTAAACTAGGACAAAACATGAACAAAAGAAATATGTACACAGAGACTCCTGAACACGTAGTAGAAAAATAAGACCAGGTTTTTCGGAAAAGTATGCATCTTTTCTTCATCGACGACACGCGACATTTACAATCTATGTTAGCAATATCACATTCTCAAATAAAAACAAGATATAAAACAACAATTTATAGAGTTTCAAAACTAAAGACAGAAAACTTACTTATTATACAATATTACATCGAGTTTCAACAAGAAAGACAGAAAGCTCACTCACTGTATAATTATATACTGGTTTTTCTTACGTTAAGGCAGGAAATTGTACCTATCTAACAATAAAATCGGTTTTCCTCTGGAAGGGACTATAACTTACTTATTGTACAATAATATGTCGGGTTTCCAAACATCTGAATAAGGTATCCTGACAACGTCAATATTGTTATATTTCTTTGGGTCCCATTTCAGCATGTAATCGAGCCATCCCTGCAATGAAAACAATTTTAAACATAAGTAAACAGTAAATAGGCGGTACCATATTTACGACTCGTTTGAGACTAGGCTACGTATGTGTGTGCAACTGTTATATACTTCTCACATGATAATTGCTCTTAATATAATGTGAAATTAAAATTTCGTAACGAATATACTTGAAGGTCAAACTATAGAAAAGCCTTTTATGGACGCTCTTCGTAAAACTCTTACTCCAACTAATATCCACTACCTTTACATAAAAACAACAATCATACATGCTTTCTGAAATACATCGCAATAACACTTAATTCGTCAGGCGTGCCTGTCAGCTATTCCGAGCGCACTTAAATATTTCCAAGAATACAAACATGGACATCTGTACTCATAAAACACGTATTTTCCCAAACATTGATTTCCTGGGTGCGCTCTTGTGTTGTGCATTTCATGCCATTATGGCGACATTTTATACTCAAATAAATATGACTTTTAGATTTGTTCGGGTTATCAATCTTGTTTTAAGTAGAGGAGCAATGAATACGAATAGTCATTCCAAACTTACGGAATCCATAATGATCCGGTTCCTTAATTTTTGCAAGAATCAATGGTAATGTTGACAAATGTGTGTTGCAGTTTTCCTGTATTGGGGGAAACAGTGGACGTAAAGATGTTTTAAAGTTAGGAAGGAACAGTGTAGTAATTTGTAAAGGAGTAATGGATAGAATTCAAGAAAAATAGAACAACTGATACAAGAGGTTCGGATATTATTCTTCAATGACGAGAATCTCTAAAAATCCCTTCAAAATCAATTTATCCTAGAAACTTCCTAACCCTTTCAAAAAGCTGACCGTCCTGGATGTTATCATGATTACTCAACGAGATCATCACCTTACTAAACAAAAACCTCAAAGGAAACTTTCTCTCTTCCCAACGTGACCCTCCGTGGGTGCTATCATGTTCCACAATTCAACCCTCGAATGCGATCTTCCTTGAATTCTTACATTCTTCCAAGGTATGATGTTCCCTAAAAGCCACGCACGTGACTTATTTTATTGGCATTATTTACCATTTGAGTATTGCTAAACTCTGCAAAAAGCCGTCTTATTTTCCACGAGTGTGATAGTGTATATTTAAGTAGGTTATAGAATACATTGTATTACTTCCATTATAAGAACTAATACACAAACAATTATATTTGTTATCATTGAAGCTATGCATTAAGTGACACTGAATCACACCGTTGTATGGTTTACTACCCGTGCGCTTTAAGCAAGTAATATGTTTCCCTTAGAGCATACTCTATTCAATATACATCTTCAAGTAAGCGGTAATGGGTTACATAGAGCTCGTTAATATGTTCCAATGTATAACGAATGAATGCATTGGTTGTGATGTATTGCGAAGCTTTGTATTCTACAATAGTAATGATGGAGATGCTGTATGAGAGCTGTATATTTATCATTAAGCAGCATCTTCGAAGGCGTCAGATATGTAAAGGACATTCGACTTCTATCAAAGTACATACTCAGAGACTCTAAATAACACATAGCTTATACCATTTGATTAGACCAACATCATTCACAAGTTAATTTCCAACAACACCATACCGATGTCATTGTTCACTATTATATCCTGATATGCAGAAAACACAAATGGAATCTCCAATATTGCACTCAAAGTTTTCGGTCATGTTTTATTTGAAATAAAATTGCAGCATAAGAAAATCTGGGCACCAGCTTCATCGCTTTACCGATGTATCCTCTCTCCCTTTGATTTCCAAAACACGAATCTACTTATAGATATCTTCATAACAGCAATAAAACGAAGAAAGACAAAAATAAGCGTAATAAAAACCAGCAGTTAAAACCAGAATAGTGAGTCTAGCATACGTCGCAAAGGCACCATAAAGACTTGGGAACCTTTAGGTGACACAACCAACTCTATCCAGACATAGTGATCTTTCGAGAGTATCAAACTTTTAATTGTTGAAATAAAAATCAAAAACCTTGAATGTTATTTACGAGAACGATTATCAAGATCGTCACTGTACTTTCATGATATTCTGATAGATATCTCCGACTATGCCATTAATCAGGTAACGAGAGATACTGATCCAAAACTTTTCATTCAAAGTATTTCCATCAATAACAAAATTGACATGTAAACTCTGTCCATATGACAGACTGCCATACTATATTCGAACAATGAGCAGTGATGATGACAGAGCCCTCAGTCTTCAGCAGATATATAACTCCGTGGATGGTAAACAGTTTGTCGGCTGCCAGGGTACGTTATAAGCCTGTATAAGACATCTGTATTCTTATGAGTAGTGACACTGGTTTAGAATACACTCTTGAACGTTTTCTTTTTCTCTTCTGTCATTATCTGATATCCTACTTTTTCAACTTGACATAATGTAATTGTTTAGATTGTGACGTGGATTGTGACGCCTGTTTCAGTACTTAACACAAGCACAAGCTTTTTTTTCTGTACATCCATAATTTTGGTCCGCACATTACTGAAGATTTGAAGTAAGATGAAACAGCACCATCCTCATATTGCCAATTGCTTTATCAGGCTATTCTATATTAATATATCAATTCAAACATAAAATGCCATATATATTTAGCATTGTGTTATTTGTACAACCCTCTTCAACTGGTATATTATGGCATTGTAACATTATTATTTTACTTTTTTTATGGGATTCCAATAAATTTCATCAACATCAATTATATCACTATTTAATTTCACAGGAAATTTCTCGACTTCCAGTTTCAAAATGCTCCATTTACTTGTGTCATACAGATAATACATGCTACTTTTTAAATTAGGCTTATTATGCAAGATTGTACAAAACACATAAACGAATAACAACTTTCAATAAAAAATAAGAAAAGATACAGAAGAGCCAAACAATGAATTAGAATACATCATACAGCTGTTTCGTCCTTCTAGAACTCGTCAGTGATGCTAAAGGCCTAAATTTTAAACCTTAGAGGCGACTGAGGGAAATCCTAAGTTATCGAAAAAAAAGTCAAAATCTAGATGGGAAGGTGTACGATCCCCATTAATCACTAACTTTCATAATTTCCATACAATTATATGTCTGATAATGTTTCAATATGTATCCTCTTCTTGATAGTAGTAATAAATTTAGATACGATTTCTCTGTTTGTGGTTACAGATTTCATGCTTTAAATTTTGCATGTTTGATAAACTTGATAAATATCAGATAACATAACATGTATCGTCTAATTGCTATTGTAAATTTCTTTCCCACTTAACACGAGTAGGTTGTCAATTTGTCAATGTATTTATTGAATGCTCAATTTTCTTGCTATGGAAAGTTTTAAGAACCATTTTATGACCATTTATTCTTTTTGAGAAAACCGTTGAAAAGCAAAAGAACAAAACATTACTTTTCCAATTTTCAAGAATCATGACATGATTTGACTCATTGTTACATCTATATATTGATAACATAAAGAGAAATTCTTTATTGTCATCATTTCCTCTTTGGTTTCCATGCTGCGATCTTTGTCAAGAATCGTCATGGTAACATATAATGTAACCGTTTGTGTGGTTGGTTCATTTGGTGTTAGTATTGACCAATCAAATGCTACATAAAGTGACGTTTCACTGTACCAGTTTAAATCAATTAAAATCATTAACTTAATTAAAATCCACTGAGCATTACTGAGAAATACTTGCAACGAATTCATATTTGGTGGACGGAAAGAATGATTGATATCATGACTGGAATGCAGCATTATGTGTTATCTATTTGGTGCATGCTGACAAATTCCCTGATATTGTGACTAATTGCACCGTTTTTCACCACATCTTCATACATCACGCGGCACCAGCCGATTGTCGTATTTACCGTATGATAAAGCTATCTGTTTTCTACACGTATGTATAAAGACACTAAGCAATTGGGGAGGAGACTGGAGAAGCCCAGTCATATGGATGAGAGAACTTTGTAGTTATCGTGGCAAATACTACATTATTTAGCAATAATATGAAAAATGTAGTGACTATATTGATAAAGAAGACCGCAGTGCTATTAATTAATGCAGAACAGACAGAAAGAGAAAGACACGACGACTATAACTTCTATTTTCATCACATTAAATGGTTTTGTAGTACAGTAATACTTTCAGATCGGTGTTTTGGCAATTCAAGTAAACAATATTGCCTTAAGAATGCTGATATATCACCTCGTGTCTGTGTTTGTACCACAATAGTTGGGTGTTATTTATCTCACAAGGCGTGCACAACAAATTACAACTGTTGAGTCAACCTAACAGTCTAATTCACACGTGTTCTAATCTCTAAAACCCGTCTTGATTTACTGAAGCGGCGAACTACTTCGTGCTCGTCGACATTATCAAGACGAATACTCGCAAAGACTATATTTCCATGTATGAGCATGTTTGGAGGACCTGGTTAATACATATATTAACAACATTGACAAACTACTCTTTCTCTATATAAAAACTAACGCGAGATCAGTAAATGATCGGGCAATTTATCGGGAAAGGCGTTTCAAGCACTAACGGTAATAAAGCACGTGCAAAAATGGTTCGCGATTGGTTTTAAAATAATCTAAGTTATATATCAATTTCAATACATTGTTTCGATAACGCAAATGTAGAAATGACTTTCAATTCGCGAATAAAGAACTATTAAAGACTAGGAACCGATATCAGTACCATGCTCAACATGAGTTATAGTCATACAAATAATAGCGATAATTAGGATTCGCGATCGATTCTCCTCGCGTATTAACGCGAAAATAAATCCCTCGCGAAATATAAGTCATTTACAGTATGATAAAACCGTCATTTACTTATTATTATTATTTATAATAAAATGTAATATTCCCATCTATTTTTGAAATGCCAGTTTTGCATATTAACCAGCGCGATATTTCACTAGTAGATGAGTCATATGACCAAAATTATAAATAAAACAGACGTGGAATGATTCGTTTATTTTGGTAGGAACAGGTCTCACAAACTTTTATTCCTCTTTTTTGTTTATTTTTTTTTTGTAATTATAAAAAAAACAAAAAAAAAAAAAAATCAGGAGCGTGAAAGAAATACCACATACAACAACACTAAGTTAGTGTAACTTCTGGAGGTTTACCATGTTACTTATCAAATAATTAAAGACACGGTGGATAATAAAATGCCCTATCAAATACATATCCAAAAGCAACGCAACACCTTTATTTCAACTGCTAGAAAAGTGTAGCAATGATCATATTACAAGATAGAGACTATACACGTCCCACTGCCTTTTGCGTTTCTATATTGCATTATATATCCAATCGCAATATGCTATTGTCAAGCACATTGACCATGCCCACTACCTCTCCTATTCCAGGACAATTTTCGGGAAAAACTTCCTTTGATGTTAGATATCTGCATGAGGTTAATATAAGTATTTAGTGGGTATTGTACAACGAAAAGCTCATATGCCCAATAAAGGAAGACATATGCTGGAATAACCTTTCGCAAGATGATAATAATTTACTATCGCTCTTTCAATTCCTCTGTGTGATCGAAGTATGCCATTTATTTTGAGTAACTAGCCAGTGATAGTACTTACCAAATTCAGCCAACAGTTGGTAGTAATAATTTGATTCTTCTCGTCCTGAAACATGAAGCAATATATTTGTTACATACGTGTAGTAAATGTTACTTCCAACACAACGGCAAGTATACTTATATCTTTGAGCCAAAATGTAAAACTAATTATTGTGTTTCTGTAGCTCAAATATTTTAGTATTATGTAAAATACAATATTACTTTTGGAAAGTACTATTATTTTATAACCAGCAGCAAACCTTCAAGTCTTTTTGTACGAAAGATTGCTACTACTGAACGATAAACCTGCGAATGCTGCCAAATTACATATATTTGAGATGAGATTTCAAACTGATGAATCTGATGTTAAAATGAACGTCCATACATACAGCGGACACTAGTCTGGCCAATCTTACTTACTGGTATTCTGTATGTCGCTATTTATTGATTATCGATCGCTAATTGACAAGCTACATACGAAAATTATCTTACGATATACATTATAGGTCTATCACTAAACCATACACTCTGTTATAAAACTAAAAGTACTTAAATGATTCAGAACACAGACCTTTGTCCTTGGTAACACGATAAAAAGAAAAAAAAAACAAAATGCGAAAAACGCGTGTTTAGCAGCAGTAGTCACCACAGTCAATGCCTGCAGGTGAAGATATCTACAGTGCCTCACTATACAAATCAGCTACAGTAAAATACATGTTTTTCCTAGAACTTTGGAATTTGTACACGGACGTTGCAGCAAAAGTACAAGGATAATAAGACCAAATGTTCTGGAAGAGTTAGTAATGTCACGTTCTCGAAAGATAACTAGGTATACAACAACGGAACCAACAAAACAAAACGAAAGAGCACCAAACACATCAAACACACCCAGCTTCATAAGAAAATATAGTGTTAGTTAATGAGAACAGAACTGGGGATAAAGAGAGTATTTCATAACGTTCCATCAGAAATGCTGCATCATATCATTTATCTAGGTTTTTTGCTCCGTTTAGACACTGATCAGAATACATGATTTTGTGTATTCCTTCCTTCACGACTTTTTGTGTTGTCTAACGTTATCGAGTGTACTGTCACGTCTCGAGTTAGGGGGATGATTCGATGGTCATAGCTTTGGCTGTATCGCAAACAAGAGCCATATCGATGTGAAATTAGACATTTGCTCTAGACGGGAAAGTAGCCATCGAGACGAAAACCAGAAGCATTGCATATAGATATGATAACATGTAGAGTATATGGCTAGTAGACCATCCAAAATATCAGATGACATCTATATCAACAGCCGTTTCCAAAGGTCATTCCATTGTCCCAGGTGCCATGTTTACCATTTCAAGGAAGTATAAAACGTCTGTTTGCAGTAGATAATAGTTGTTTAGGGTGATATCGGGTTCGGGTGTGTAGATATCAACGCAAAATGTAAATGTTTTATTTAACGATTACAAAATGACCCGTGGAGCAGAGTATTGTATTTATCATGATAGCTACACTTCAGTTAATGCGGCACATTTTCTTTAAAAAAACAAAAGATAATTTTTCAGGGTATTTTTAGGGGAAAATATATCTTATTTTTTTTTCGATTCCTTCATCTCTGGAAAATCTACCCATTGAGAACAATAACAAGTTTCTCATCCTGTATTCTTCTACAATAATCCCCAGGATATGTATCATAGTCAATAAATCCTACATCTATCAACAAATAACATTGAAAGCATAGAATCCCGGAATGATTACCATAATAGAACACGTGTAACTTTACAGTAAAATAAGACTGCAAAATCGAATAAAAGCGATGAGACATCAGAAATGAAAGAAAATCTTCTTACTATGGATCACGCATTATTGAATAGATTTTAAAGATAGGGAAATAAATTATTTTCTCGTTAGCATTTTGTTAACCAATTTCTGTCTCTAAATTGATAAATGTTGAAAACAGGATTAACGTTAAATTTTACATCTGTGAATTTTGTCATCCCATTATCAGTGCTGCTTAAACTAAAATGTATAGCGGAAAGCTCTCTTTGGTAGTTGGAGGTAGAAACCAGTGTTACATATATAGACATTGGATAATACATTAACATTCTTCTAGAAGGACGATCGTTTTGTCTTTATAATCGTTAATGCTTCCGTATTACGCGCTTTTGCTATCATGGGCTTCATCTTATATAATCGCCAAGTGTACTCACCACGTCTATAATTTGGGCCAGCGCCACACCAAACTTCACATTTAAAGGTTTGGAACTATTTTGGGATGGCATAATCCGCTTCTCGTAATTTCTAAGCAAATCTCGTACCAGACGATACTCGTGCACATCGCTCAGAACGAGGTCCAATCCTACCAAAAATGAAATAAGAACAATTACTGTTTAACTGGTAATGGTGACAATGGAGTCTATCTTTAAATTTTACTGGAATTATTCATTATCATAGGCTAAATATCAATTCAATTGAAAGAAGTTTTCCAGAACAATTGTCGTATATCACAAACATATCCTCATACAAACATTTACTCATAGTGTTCATTTTTACGTATTTTCGTCTTTGAAACATCTAGGATCTATACATCTACCACTTGTATTTAATCTATTTTCTTAGTCTTCACATAAGTTTGTTTTTTTCCAATGATTGACCTTCTATATACATTGTATTAGATAATTTTGTATACGTCATGACCTTGATAGTTTGTTTCGCAATGGTTGTAAAATGAAATTGAGATTTTTTAGTACTAATGCCTTTCTTTTGTAGCTACAGATTTTTATATAGACATATGTATGATATGTTTGTCATCAATTTGCGAACTAGGATGTTTGGAAGATGTCTTCCTGAAGATTAAATAATGAGATGCTGACAGGCGTCGTATTCATTTGCGTATAGCAAAGCAATCTCCTTTACGTAAAACACAAAAATACAAATTATGAATATCCCATGTTATACATACATTGTACTACAAATAATCTGTGAAGACTTCATACGTGACAATACTATTGGAGACATTTACAGAGAACCCTTTAAAATAAATGTTTTAAATAAAACTTCTTTGATGTTCTCGATATCAGGGTTAGGATATTAACATGGTATAACTTAAAGATGACACGTCGCCGTAACATTTTATCGCGTAGGAAAGCTGAAGGTCATGGCATACTCTTTGTCATCAATACTGATAAACTTTTCCGTAAACCTGACATTAACCAATGATTTTATTGGAAATATGGCTCTAAAGGCCACGCCATACGTAAATGGGCCTACAATGTCTTCATTCCACTTCAGTGGGTATACACGATCAATGTGTCCAATCAATTGTTTTGACCTGAACACATACATGTATCGTCAGTATATTTGAAAGCAAAAGACAAAAAGAAGTGATATCATGGAAGATACTTCAAAATCAAGAAATAAATCAGTTTACGTTACTTGGTTGTGAACATTTTCTGTTCTCACGGTAGTGTTTGATATCTAAAAACATGGGCGTCATATTAAATTCCTCATCGTCGATTCAGTCTTTTATATCTAGCATCTACCGCACATATATAACCGTTTATGTTCCATAATACCTTATAGGATATTCCCAAGTGAAAACATGTTTCAGTGTCGGATTGTTAAATATTTTATGACAGCATTTTTATTCAGGATTGATTTTGTTTTGTTTCCAGTCATTCCTCCACCGAGGTAGAAAAAACAGCTCAAAATCATTTGAATCCTGTTGAACGAAAATGTTACAGCACCTAATGGGATACTTAACCTGAAGAAAGCACTTTCATTTGTGGTAATTGTAAGCATTTTCAAAATTGTTAGCTGTACGTGATTCGTCTACATACATGGCATTAAATCGTGTGTTCTGCCTGATTGTCGAATACTAAACTCAAAAACTTGACTAATTCTTTTTTTTTAAAATTAATTCTGTGTTAAATATACTAGTAATATCTACCAACATTTTGAGACTAACCGTATTTTACAATCGTTTCAAATGTTAATTGGACACTATTTTCAAAACATACTGATATTATCTTATCATTCTATACATCTATGACTACAAGTTATATGAACAAGAATATGACTATAAGTGACCATAAGGAATAATTGCGCCTGATCTTGTGAAAAAAAATCACATTCCTTGACAATTAGTATAAATAGTAATGGTTACCTTGAACTTTGAACCTTAAATTAATTTGAGGACTTGCCATGAATAAATTCTGCATATATTGGAATGAATTCCCTAAAGAAGAAATGAAGTCGTCATATTGTTAACCTAACACCCGAGATGGTTATCAATAAATAGTAACGGGTATCTATACTTTTCAGTATCCTTACTATTGTCATTGTTTACCTTAGTATAAAATTCGATTTGAATCTAGTCGGAATTGTACAATACTGGTCGGAGAAGTAGAGAAGGCACTTCAGAGACAATAAACAGAATAAAGACGAAAAAAACATTGTCGATCACATCATAAGTGATCAGTACGCAAGTGACAATCAATACCATATTTATGAGACATTTGTTTTTTCAAATTAAAGACCAAAACTGCAAATATCAAATTGATAGATAGTGAAGCATCACTGTCCCTGTTTTATTACGACCGGGAAGTGAAGACGAGAGGGAATCAATTTCTATTGTTTCTCTTTACAGTGCGTCTACTTTCATAAGTCATAAAACAGTACTTCATGATACAAATATCGTTTGTCATTTCTCATAAAGATTGCCATTGTGAAACACCTTATAAATGATATGATTTAATAATACTGTGTCATCGGTACTTTGTTTTGAGAATCTAGCCACACTGAAAACAAAGAATACTTATTGTTACTGTGTCAGCTAGACGAAAGTGGGGCGTTCGGAACGTTTCTAAGTCACATTTACGTAATGCCGCTGTAATAGACAATATGATACTGATGTGTTTCACTGCAGTAAAAACTTTTAATTACAATGCCGAAATAAACTGATCGGCAAATACAGAAAAATGTCATAAAAATATGTCAAAGCCGAGAGCATCGTGAAGTCACGTTTATATAACTGCAATTCTGTTTTTCTTTCAAATGAAAATGAAAATCAATATTAACCAATAACTGTATGGAAATAATTATTCTGATGTCTCTCCCCGCCACCTTTCATAGCTAGCCTTTCTTAAAGTGAGTGTTCTTTAGTTTTTTTCAGATCTAACTAGCATGCCAACTTTCTTTGTATTAGTAATTCGAGCAATATATAAATTTTTGTACAAATATTCCTTTATATCACATTGTGTTATGAGCTGGCTTCCGGCCTTCCAAGATCATTTCACACACGCAAAAACCTTCTCTGATTTTCACATCAGATTTATGGGACTACAGCAAACACTAAACGTAAACTGATCGTGGTGATTTATCCGACATCTAAAACGAAAAAATATATATTTACTCCTTTATATTGTTGTGATACTATAAACATTTCATTAGTACTTAGGGACAATTATGATGTCATAGGTATAATTACCCGCTATTAGCATGAAGATTGCACAAAAATGGCCTCCTATCATGGCTGTCATTGTTGTCATCGTGTTCCGCAGGCACGCAGTAGGGCAACTGGAACAATACAAATGCGAGTCATTTAAGGATAAATAAGTAATAGTATCTGTAGCATATTGTATCAACAAGGAAATAGGAATTTATAAATGAAGTTAATTGTATAAATAACGATATCTAATTACTTGTATTCATAGTATATTATATAAATATGTATATAATTGTAGAACTATTTGTAGTATATTATATAAATATGTATATAATTGTAGAACTATTTGTAGTATATTATATAAATATGTATATAATTGTAGAACTATTTGTAGTATATTATATAAATATGTATATAATTGTAGAACTATTTGTAGTATATTATATAAATATGTATATAATTGTACTATTTGTAGTATATTATATCAATATGTATATAATTGTAGAAATATTTGTAGTATATTATATAAATATGTATACGAATGTAGAATATTTGTAGTATATTATATAAATATGTATATAATTGTAGAACTATTTGTAGTATATTATATAAATATGTATATAATTGTAGAACTATTTGTAGTATATTATATCAATATGTATATAATAGAAATATTTGTAGTATATTATATAAATATGTATATGAATGTAGAATACTTGTAGTATATTGTATAAATATGGTAATCAATGTAGAACTATATGTAGTATATTGTATAAATATGAAAACCAATGTAGAACTATTTTTAGTATATTGTATAAATATGGAAATCAACGTAAAATTATTTGTAGTATATTATATAAATATGGATATCGAGATTGAAGTATTTGTACAAAAAGGTGTTTATTGTTTAAATAAGGATATCAATGTAGACATATTTGTAGAATATTGTATCAATATGGTAGTATTTGTAGCATATTGCATAGAAAGATAAATAAGAAACGAGTGTCCAAACAACGACTTTAAATCTATAGGGTCTAAAATACAATAAAGAGACGCAGACGATGTGCTTCTTTTCAGTATAGATAAACCTATCTGTTAGCTGTTTCTTCTTGTTTTGTTACAAGAAATTGTACTAAAGAAACACAGGAAAAAACACTGTTTTCAACACAAATTTAGAACACGATATAATATAGACAAATAATGAAGTAAACAACTAGGACACGGGAGTATTGGTGACTGCTGTAACTTAGACGGCAAATAGAAATTCAAAACTGGTCGATATCAATGACAAAGACCGGAGGGAGAGGCGAACAAACTCCAATATTTAGTTATTTTCAAAGGACGTCAATTGCCTATTCTGAACAGTACAAGCGTTCAAATGAATCAAAACGTACATGTAGCAGGTATGTTATGTAGTGTCTACTGCCTAAAATAGTAAATAATTGTACACAAGAGAATAACACACTTCAATACAGTCAATAATTACAAAGTTATATCGTCCAATGTAGGAGTACATTAACATGTCTAAGTCTGCGGTAATGAATTGTTGAAGGCGACAGACGCTGTTGACCATCTCTCCATTTAAGTAACACAATCAAAATTAGACTGCTTAAAGAACTCAAACGACCAACAGAAGAAACATTTGCTCAATGGTTGTTATGCATTAACGGGAAACGTTGCTACAATTATCAACCAGGAATTCAAATGGTAGTTTCATCTCCTGTGTACTATATACCAGTCTGTGTTTGACCGTAATTTATACGAAGTCTCCTATATGGCATTTTGTACATATATCACCATCCGCATCTATTTAAAAAGAAACTTCTCAAAAATTGAGAATGAGCCGTATATATTATGAAATATATTTCAATACTGACACTAATACATTTCTACTCTCTGCGAACGTCTGTAGCAAGACACATAAGCCAGTAATTATGTAACTTAAAAAAACCAAGAAAATACCAACATGTCAACATAATTATAACCCTCAGTCAAATTCAATAAAACAAGGAGAAAATATGAACAAAAGCAAAATTTACACGGAGAATCCTATAAAAGAGACTAGGAGAATACGATCACGTGTTCAGGAAGCGTCTTCTGATTCATCGACGACATCCACCATGTTATCATCACATTGAGTGCAACAAGTGTAGTATTTGTCTTATTGTATTGTCTCCTTTCTGGTGTAAACTGGTTCCGTGTGATTTTCATTAGTAAAATTGATAAAAATAATGCCTTTGAGCTAAACGAATTCTGCAAATACACTATTACTTACACGATCAAACACTGGAGTACCTGGGGTATCTTTTTATTCGGCAGTTATATATAATGATTCATATGTAAACGTATTGGAGTGAAGCCAAATTTAATTCCGGACTAGAGTCTCCGCATCAGGCTGTGTTGTAAGGTTACCTTCGATTGAGATGAAGTGTCCGCCATACACAACACACTAAGTTCTCCTGACCATTTCTCTATTGATTGATGGTCTCCTAAACACCCTGCTTCAGTTGCCAGTCGCGTGCTTTCTTTATCAACTCCAAATAAAGGAGATTATTAGCAATTTCTGTATTCAGGTGGTGTCAATATGGCCGCCATGCCTTGACGGAAGTCTAGAAGACAAATAGTATAAATCCATACACTTCTTATAAACCGGAAAATAATGAAGTAATGAAGTATGAAATACGCCGCCTTCGTAGCACTCTCCCTAGTGAAGGCAGAAAGCGGTTCATTAGTGTGACATTGAGCTATTTTTGACGCCGTGCCTGTGTGGTCAGCAGATATCGGACTATCGCACGCGCAGCCACATTCATTATGACAGCACTCACACCTGTACTTTTTATCTTGACTGACTTTCATTGGAATCTCAGACAATTTAGTGAACTACATCATCAACGGTGTCCATTTTCTCAACAATTTACATCGAAACTAAACTTCAGCAACTACAGCAATGTAACGTTTGATGTCGGAACATACATAAACTGCTTGATCACCGACATTAAGTTCTGTAAAGAAATACTATAAATACATTTAATATTCATCCAAAATGACTTATCGTTTACAGTAACAATTATAACAACCATAGAAGAATGTATGCCACAGAATGGTGCAGTGAAGTAGCTGATATGTAGTACATTGCATAGAGAAACACATCAAAAATCAACACCCCGAAAAGTTCATTCTCTGCTTGTTTTTCGATAACAAAGAGCAACCTAACGTTCCCTTTTACCAGATCGATATCATATTTACGTAAAAAATTAAAAAAAAAACAAAGTCTTAACCTTTGAAATATCATGTTTTCCTTTATTGAAGAGAAGTTTGAAATCTGCTGACACATGCCGATCGGTCATGGCCATATGGCGTCGAAAAAATTGAAGACGACGACGTAGCCCAGGATTATTGAGTTTCGGAGGGTAAATATGAGAAATGATTGACGCGGGATGTGAACGAACGCGTAATAGATGGTTTATGCTTGATAGGTAACGATGTACAACCAAGCTTTCGTTCCAGCCTTGGTTAGATAAAATACTATCACATATGAAATTAGAAACAAACACGAATTTTTATTTTTTTCTTGAAGCAGTATTATTTGCTAACCAATATTTCGCGAGATCTTGTGACGTCGACCTTCTAAAAAAATAAAAAAGCAAGGAAAAAAAACAAAAACAAAAACAAAAAAAAAACAAAAAAAAAAAAAAAAAAAAAATGCAAGAGGTGTTTAAGTAACGACCTTCAACGAAGTAATTTCATGCATTAATCATTAAGAAAGTGTGCTGTGGATTTATAAAAACAAACCTTTAAGTGTTGTTTACGTCAGGTAAATTCCATGTTCTAAGAGATAAATGCGATGTTAATTAAAAGATAATAGGTTGTTGTTTTGCCTTTGACATTTGGCAGAACCTAGTGCTTTTCTAATGTCTTCCTTGACTCCACCTAGCTTTGACCTTTGTGTATTTGTTTCGGTGATATCGATGCTAGCCACTTGATAGGGACTGGTTAGTCAATTGTTCCGGTGTCTTTCTGCCATGTACAATTAATTACATCTCCGATTGATGACACTTGTAGGTAAGCATTGACGCACCACATTGGCGTCGGCTTCACGGATATTAATTTTTGTTGTTTCGAGATAGTAAAAATACAGGTTTAAAGTGCTACAATAATGCAGTGTGTTAAGGCTATAAAAGCTAATGTTCATGCCCCAGTGTTTAAAAAAATCTTCTCTGAACATGTAATAGTTTCTGTATTTGTAAAAGCATCCACCTGAAAAGGCGTTAACATGGTTCTCTGATGATGGTCACTGAATGGTGTGAACAAATTACATAATGGCTTTTATCTTTATTGTCCTTAGTCATTAAATTGTGGAAATTTTATTTCATTTTTCAGCTGAAGAGGAACAAAAGCCACGTCCATATCCAAATAAGCATGAGACTAGTCAAACTGCTTTTCTTACCCTGGTACAATCTAGTAATCATGTTATGTCAATGCCTTACTCAGAGCACAGTTCCTCCAAGCGGTGGCTGGAATCTTAAACGTCAAATAGGAAACCCAATTACAAGAGCCTTTTTTCATTATAACCTCAAAACCTGTGCGTTTTGACGCAAAATATAACATTTATTTAAACCCCTGTTCTGTCGCATCAACAAACGGAACCTTTGTTCGGTCGACATAGTACTTTAAAGAAACTGATCTGACAAAGCGTGTAAGCGGCTCCTCTTTAATTTAAACGCAGTACTGTCAGCGATCAATCCGGTTCATGTAACTCGATCAAAATAGATAAATGAAGTAATGATATTTGGTGACAGCAACAGTTTGTCTGTGACGTCATACCCACGGAACCTATTGCACAGACAATAAAGCCTGTTTATACCGGAAAACTTGATATGTAATTGAACTATCGTTTAACCTACGACAACAAAAGTTGGAGTGCAAATTTAAATTGAAAAGACTAGCTGTGCAGACGGCCGTAGTACAGCACCTCTTTTTACGAGGAAAAGGAAATTAAAATGGGGACCGCTTCTTAATTGCATAGATGCGAACGAGAGAAAATGTGAGACGGGCGACAGAGGGGGAGAGCTTAGGATATTGGACTTTATATTACAGGGGACG